ATCCACACGTTCACAGCACCTTGTGCCTGTCAATCATCCTGTGCAGATGATGCCATTTCTCTCTCTTCCAACCAGCTCTGACACCGGCACCTGCACGGGCTTATTAGAATCAGCAGCTTTTATTTCGACTAATGAGAGGCTTCAGAGAGCCTTAGGTTTACGTGGATAATTCTTCAGTGCATATGGTCAACAGCCGTCACTCAGCAGATCATTATGATCATTACTTGCACCAAACAAAATTACTATTAATTGTATTTTAGTTACAAGCTTTGTTGCATTGTATAAAAACACCACTCTATATTATCCTACAAGCAAATGTAGATGCAAAGTCATCTCTTACTTTTCTTGATTTGTATTTTTCTGGGAACACCAGGTGCCACGGTGGGGCGGCTGCGGCTGCGGCTGTAAAGTGCCAAAGTGTCGCTGTGACACTTCACCCACATTGCCTTGAATGAATCTGATGTGTGCTGAATGTTTGGTGGTGGTCAGAGGGGTACATACTGGTGGCCTCTCTTCTGTTAGTGTCCCCGAAGGAAGCTGTGGATACCGTGGTAGTGTATGGAGTGAATGAATAACAACGTGCACGCGTCTTTGAGTGTCCAAAAAGTGCTATAAAAAAACTACATTTTTATCTGTTTAGGCTTCCTCCGGATGCTCAGGTTTCCCCCCTTATAACACATACAATAGTTTAGGATGAAAAGATATGTGTTTGTGGTAGCATTTAGAGCACCTGCTGTTCATGAATACACACTGTCCCATCAAAAAAACCTAAATAAACTAAATAAATCTAATACAGATCATTGATTACTTTCTCACATTGGAGCTATACTTGTCAGATACACTGACAGTATCACCGTGTTGAGTTCAGCGTGTGTTGTATTTCTCTGTTTGCTACTGTATTTTTAGCCGTAGTGTTCAGTTGTGTTGGATCATTATCCTGATTTGTTGGTTCCAGCCTCGTGTCACTGTGGAGACTTGTTTCCTAATAACTCCTTTTAGTCCACATCTTGTCCCATTAAAGGCCTCTATTATAAAACATGTGAAGTTTGCAGGGACTCATTTGGACGATGTCGTCTCTGCTGCGATGGTCCAAGCTGTTTTACTGAAATCCCTCTGGTTTTATCCACATGAAGGAGCAGGACATGATGAGGCTCAGACCCAACTCTCATTTTGTCACTTAGTGCAGATTATCAGATTTATACGCTTTAACGGGCTTAACCTCGCGTCTAACAGGACGATTAAGGAAAAATATCTCTGCTACTGGATGAAATGGAGTGGGTAGGAAAAAACAATTGACAATAAGAAAATTCAAAGTCATATTATAAACATCAGTGTGTGTGTCTGTGTGTGTGTGTGTGCAACAATAGACTTTTTTTTTCTTCTTTTTTTTAAACAATGCTAGTACAGTTGCATTATTTTTACGCAAAGTGTGCATTTTAACATTATTTTTATTCAATTGAATATTTGTATATCTGCGCAGAAAGACATGTTATTATACATTTATTATACATTATTAGACAAACTAGCCTTTTGCGTCTGAAGATAAGGACACATAGTTATATTGTGAACATTTTCTTTTCAACCCCTTTAGACATCATACATTCTTGGTTGAATAAAGTGACAAAAAGAATATGTCAAATGTGTTTTGCATCTTTCGTATCTGACCCAAGCTGCACTCACAAGAATCTGAAGGCTTGAGTGTTTCCATCAGTGGTGGTGGTGGTACTTTCATGTTGTAAAAGAACTGACACAGGAGAAACATGAATTAACTAAAACTACAGCACAAAAAAACAAAAAAATCAAATCCCATTGTAGTTTTGTTCGGTATAAATGATTCAACTGGTGTGTGTGTGCGTCTTGTGAGTGTGTGTGCGAGAGTGTGTGTGTATGTAGAGAGGGGGAGAGTGTATGTGTGTTTTCCTTTCTTGGTTTTTCACTTTATAATTTGCAGTTTTAGCTAAATATATTAATAATAGTGACGTGGATGGGGCGGTTCAATAAAACATTTGTACTTTTTAACATTCAACCACTGTTCTATGAAGTGGATAGCATTTAAAAATACAATCTATTCAATTAATACAATTAAATAGTGAAAAAATTCAAATCAGCTGAACAAGAACCTACTGACATAAAGTAATGAATAATTACAAGTAGTGACGGTTTGTTTCCCTGGACATTTCCCAATAGCATGTTTCCCTCGGCTTCTGTGCAGTTGGAGTACAGTGTCCAGGATCTCCTCAGGCTGGACCCGCCGCCTGCATCCCAAATGAAGCTCTTTGTCTGGAGCATCCTGCTTGTCACTGTCTTTTGTTTTAAGTGAATTTGCTCAAACTCGACAAGTGTTTACTCCGTTGCTGCAACTCCAAGTGCGCTCCTTTTGAGTGCGGCCAGACTGAGGGGGGGGGTGGGTCAGGGCCAAGAGCTCCTGTCTGGACCGTCGCGACACCGCCACAGCCGAGTGTTTATCCTCTGTGTTTAGAGTCACAACTTAGTCTGGGGGGGTCAGTTAGATTTGTATGCATGGTCCATCGCTGCCCGGACCCCCTCCCTGGAGCCCTCTATACGGCTCACCTGCCTGCTGCACTAAATCATAGTGGGATAAGTGAAGCGTGTGGGCCGGCTGCACGTGCGCGGGGCGTCCGAGCACCTGCCGTCGTCAATGTGGGAGTGTGGACACAGCGCTAAAGGAGGAATAATGAAGTGCTTTCTATACATGTCCAGTCCATTCACTGCTCTGGGGTTCACTGATAAGAGACGGGTGCAAGGACCTGCTCCCCTGACCAAACAATACAATGATAATGATATGCATTGAAACGCTGTGTATTTAGTATTATTTATGTATAATTTTATTTATATATTCGGATGAAAAAAGAGATGATTGGAAACAAAGTGAACACACATATACGTTTTAGATTTATCATCATGCTTTTTGCCCATTGCAACTATTAAAATTTTTTTTGGGTTTTCTTTTGTTTATTGAAGAGTCACATTTTTATTACAGTTTATTTATTTGCTGTTTTTCAGTGGTTTTTTTCCCCAGAAACCATGCACAATAGAATAATATATATACACAAATATATACATTTATACATACCCATAAACAGTATGCATTAACACTCATACATAAACATTTAACATTCATATCTAGATACTGTATGTACATATACAGATATGATCGCGAGATAAGCAAACATTCAATCATTTACAAAAATAAAATAGAGCACCAAATAAACAATAAGTGAAACTGTTGATAATTTTTTTTTAACAATACCTTTAAAATAAACAAACAAACAAACATCCATCTAAAAGGCCAAAATAACATGAAATCAAAAAGACAAAAAACAGCGTGCAGTCCGTAGATTGTTGCTATTTATGAAATCAAACAAACCGAATAATCACAAACCAACAGTTCCTTTAAACTCTATTGTTCTGCCTTGTTGTGAAGCCTTGTTTACTCCAGTCTGTGTCGTACGAGCTACATGCTAACACCGTGCTAAGTGCATATGTGGCCCGTTCTGTCTGCAGATGCCCATCCCTTTGACACAGTATCTATTCAGAGTCAATGAGCAGGGTCAGAGCCCGCAGCACCTCAGGCGCAGCCAACGTCCCGAGCCGAGCGCTGGGGCGGTCCTGAGGGTCACCCGCTTTCAGGCGCCCCTGTCATGCAAATGCACCCACCCACGCTTTTTAACTACTCTTGGAATTTTTATGTCTGGCCTCTTTTTCCCTCAATTTAGCCTCTTTTCTTACTTCATCCCTTTCCAAATCTTTAGCTCCCTTCAGTCTTCACAAAGTCATTGACGACACTTTCAAAGCTTTTTAAATCGAGGGGAGGGGGGCTGTGGTGGGACTAAATATACTCAGGGCTCAAAGCAGTTAGATCATGTTCTTTTCATGGTCCGATTAGAATCAAATCGATGCCCCGCCCCGCCTGACACTCCACGGTTTGAAGAGGAGCGCTCTGACAAAGATTTCTTGGCTGGGACAGGGGGAATGAATAACTAAAGCTGAATACTAACACACTCGTAAAAACATCCCATTGGAAAAGCTCGGACAATGACCCACAACGTAACGTGCTTGAAGTGTAGGAGCAGCGTTTGTGCAGAGTGGGAACGGACCAACTGAAGTTAGCTCATGAGTTATAAGTGATGAGACAAATGTAAAAAGTCTTCTTATGTTTAAGGCTTGGAAGATCCTTAAACATCTCTTCAGACTCTTCTCATCTCTCAGACTTAGCCTAAGATGAGACATTCAGTGTTTTGGAACTTTGGGAGGAAAGAATATCTGTTCCATGGTCAAGTACAATTTATATTGATGAAAATGTATTTACTCAAATAGCATTCAGTACCTTTTGTAGTCAGTTATTAACATCATGTTATCACCCAATCGTATCAATTAATACATTTTCTTAAATATATGAACCATTTAGATCATGATAGAAAAAAAGAGTTGAGGGACGCACATATTTCAAGAAGTAAAGAGGATTTTTTATTTGTGTGTTACATTTACACCAGTGCTGAGGTGATAGCTGTTCGGGTGACCCTTTCAGCTCCAACTTTCTAAACCTTTGAGATGTGATAACGCATCAAACTTCCATCCAGGAGGTGTCCGAAAAAGAGGCACTTTGGAGTAGTGGCTCTACTCTGAGACCCTCCTGTGTCATTCTGTCTGTCATTATATAAAATTACCATGATTATAATAACAAAAACGGTTAAACTGTTTGGGTCTAGTATGTAACACGCTGCACCTGCAGCCACAATAAAACTATTATTAAACCTCACGCCACAGGCTTCACAGAGAGAGGCTGAGAGAGAGAACAAGAGTTCAAAAACCTTTGAGGGCAATCATTTTACTTTTGTCAAAGTTGAATTTGAGTTATTCCAATGTATTAAATACACATTTTAGTATTAATTTAATATTTATATTTACCATATGGCACAAGTAATTTCAACACAATAATATCTTCTGAATGATTTAAAGCACTTGCATTAAAGTATGCGATGAAGAACTATCTCTCGTTTGTGTTGGAGGTGGGACCACCCTGCAGCCGCTCTTCTCTCTCACCTCGTCCTGCTGCTATTCAGGCTGCAGCTGCAGAGCTCTGTCACAGTAACTTTCAGTGTTTGTGCGGGACACAAAGATGGATGGAGGAGCTCGGGCTGAGTCTTCAATGGGCCCTGGCCCAAGGTGTGCGACTCAGCTGCGCCCGTCCTGCCCAATGCTGGGCTCTGGTGCTCTGCAGAGGACTGAGAGGGGGGCTGAGCACCACAGTATGGCAACAGATGCTTTTGTTGGGCCAAAAGTCTGAAAGGGGCCAGGGCAGGGAGCACACAGGAGTCATTTTTCTCCCACTTTGCCAGTGCTTCAGTGAGCTGCGGAGCAACAGGAAATGTGAGGGCAAAGCTGTGATGGACTACGTAAGTGGGGCGCGCGGTTTTGGCCTGTTTTGTGGGCGACTTCATTAAAGGATCGTTTATCTGTCCTGTGATCCCATTGTCCCGGGCCGTCTTTATCGGCCTCGGTGTGTCAGGGGGTGTAATTGGCCGATTGGCCACGGTCTGCACATGCTGAGGTGATTTATAAAGTAGTGAATAGGCCTGACTCTTCTCCCTCTCTGCTGCACTGGAGCTGCGGCCTCAGAATAAGGTTGAATAAAGTCAGAAGAAAGAGCAGTGAAAGAGAAAACGTCCCAAAGCCGGGTGTGAAATCAGGGCTTGAATCAAAGGCCCTGGGACCGCTCCCGTCCTGTCATCAGCGCACCTTTATCCTGCGTGGGACTCTACGCTCTCAAATCATTTCACTTCACTATATTTCATCAGGCGGAGTGCTGAGAGGGTGAACTCTTCTACCTTAGGTCAACTGCACCAAAACTAGCTTCCAAACTAAATACGGTTTAATTAGTATAATATTTGATTCCACTCCCCTCAAATGGGGCGAGCACTAGGAGTGTTAAAAGTTGACCCTCTGACATTATGGCTCTATAAACTCCCGAGGTATTTAAGAAGTAGAGCAGCTGTGGGAGTGGGTTGTGCCGCTCTTAATGACCTCCTAATTAAACAGGCCTCCTCTGAATGGGCTGATCATGTAGGACGGGTCAGGGGTCATTTATAGGACTGCTGGTGGCTGTGCTATTGCTTCACACTCATTGTTTGTTTGATATCCGCCATTTTACAAAACAAGAGCAAAGGCAGCTCGTGAGACTGTGTGGGACAAGTCTGGTCCAGACCTGGTTCAGTCCAAGGCCTTTGTCCAGAGCAGGTCATTAAGCCTCTGAGTGTTTGTCTAAAGGCTGAGGACACGACTTAAACCCATGTTGATGAAGTGTAAGAGGATTTTAAAGGATACAACTATTCAGACTTTTATATTGTTTCCCAACATGGTGTAGAAGGGTAGAAGGAATCAAGCGAAAGTTGTTTTTGTATATTTTACTCACTGAAATGAATGAACTAACAATCCACTAGGATTTGAAACAAAACACATTTTCAAGCTCGTCAAGGTAAAAAAAAAAGAAAAAAAATCAAGATCAAACACAGAGAAATGAGCGCTATGTTTAAAGATATTTAACATAGACCACTGGAGAATAAACTAGCCGTGCTAACAAAGAGGAGTGAATTGGGAACCAAGGAGGGGGTGCCACAAGATCCTCTGCACCCAATGCCGTGCCAATCCAAACGAGAAAGCCAAGGAAAATGCTGTGATCCACCACGACTAACAAGGACAACAAATTAGCTTTAGATTGTATTGTCTCCTGTATGGAAAGTCCGGCCATGTGCCACAGTATGTAGCCTAAAACAGATACTTTTTTTTAAACATTGTGCCAGTAGTGGATCGTTCAAACATTGCAATTTTTCAAGGTTCAAGAATAAAGATAAACATTATTTGTCCACAAGTAAGAACTTCATATTGGGCGATGTAGGATGTATTCCAGTGAGATAATCGTGTTGGACCGGTGCGCGCCAGAGAAGCGAACTCCAGAAGTCACATGTAAATCCTCATTGGGTAACTCCATACTGTGCTAACTCAATACTGTGCTATTTGTATTATGCTCTTGGTGGTTTATCATGCTCTGAATATGTTTTCATTTCCTGATTAGTGCATTTTCCAAGCAAATTCAAGGATGTCATTGTACGAACAATAATAAAGCATTATTTTTTTTGCTCTAATTTCATAAAATGTTGTAATAATTATGCATATATGTATTTAATATTTGTATTTTTCTATTTAGTCAATTGTACAATGGCAACAATCAATATTTAAGGTAGTATATAATATTTCTATAGCGCCTTTCACAAACTATGTTCAAAAAGCGCTACATAATTGTTGTTTTTTGGGGGGGGTTGGGCATTTGTCTCTCCCGCCACAAAGACCTATTCTATATCCAGGAAACCGGAGCACCCGGTGGAAACCGGAGCACACGGTGGAAACCTTCGCAGACATGGGCAGAACATGCAAACACCTCACAGAAAAGCCTGGAGGTAGAATGAAACCCACCGCTAACCACTCTGCCACCGTGCACCTTCGAGATTAAACTCAAAGATGCAGCCTGCATCAGTCTCTGCTTGTGCTGCTCTGAAAAAGGAACAGTTTCGTTTGCGTTAATTCACGACTTTGCTGCTGTCCGTGTGCACAGCCTTTGTGAACGACTCTTCTCAGCCCCTCCTCCTTTAACCAGGCTAGATTATGTTGCTAAGGAGATTTTTTTTACCCCCTTTCTATTCTTTTTCTTGGCTTTTTTCACTGTTTCCCATTGATTTGGTGTTAATGCGTTTTGAATGCTGCGTGGTGTGTGCCTGGGGAGAAGAGGGGGCAGTGGAGGAATGTCAGTCTTAAGATGGGATAGTGTGTATGTGAGGGGGGGCCAGGGTGAGGGCCCAAAGAGAGCCACTCAAGTGAGAACTGAAGTGGTTTTTCCTCCCTCCTTCGCCTCCTGTTCTTTCGTGTGTCGCTCCGTCACTAACAGTCCACAGGTGCACTGTCAATCTCACCAACACTGAACCAAGACTAAAACAAACCTTGTTTTCTCACCAATTATGAATATACTAATATTACATATATAAAAAAACAAGAATTACACAGTTTTAAGCTCTATGTTGATGTGGTAATTTCAAATCTGCTCACTTTACATTTGTGTTCCTGCACCATGCATTTGAATATTGTAGAACTAAAGGAAAGGAGATTTGAGACAATTTCTAAATCTACACAGAATGACATTCTATGTGATTTGGTTTAACTTCCTGTTCATGTTGGTCCACTTCTGTACCTTTACAGACATGGACACTATCAGCTGCTCCATTCTTGAAGAAGTGAATCTTGAGTTAACCAATATTTTGATATTTTGTAATCTTCCTGTACTGATGAAAAATAATACAATAGGGCTGAAGTAGACTCCTTTCATTGATACATTTCTTTCTACAAAGTGTTGTGATCCAATTGGTCATAGAAGGGCTGAAACTTTCCCTGAGCGCCACTTCTGAAATATTCAACCACCAAGTGCTCAGAGGACAGCTGATGCTGCTGTAAAACACAACATTTGAGTGGAAATGAGCTGGTGCCAGTCCTCCTGGAGCCTGCCCTCTTGTAGACATGAGCCTCGTTCTTATTCCCCCTAATCTTCTGTCTGTTTGAAAAGCCTGCTTCATTTAAGTGCTGTTAAACCTGTCCCAAACTAAGTGGCTGTCGGGGCACTCGTAGGCCCCTCTCATCCCAAAGCTGGTGTAAGGAGATAACTGCTCTTATTGCGTTCATATGAAGAGTTCTTCTACTGTGAGTGTGGCCCCAGGACGCTGCAGATGGGAGGGGCCTGATGAAGATGTCAAATGAGACAAAGCAGCTGTCACTCCTGCATAGTTGGTCCAAAGAATGCTTTATGGAGATTTTCTGGGAATAGCCTAATAATAAATCCATCCATCCATCCATTTTCTTCCGCTTTATCCGTTGCCGGGTCGCGGGGGCAGCAGTCTAAGCAGAGACGCCCAGACTTCCCTATCCACACACACTTCCTCCAGCTCGTCCGGGGGGACCCCAAGGCGTTCCCAAGCCAGCTGAGAGACATAGTCCCTCCAGCGTGTCCTGGGTCTTCCGCGGGGCCTCCTCCCGGTGGGGCGTGCCCGGAACACCTCCCCAGGGAGGCGTCCAGGAAGCATCCGGAACAGATGCCCGAGCCACCTCAACTGGTTCCTCTCGACGTGGAGAAGCAGCGGTTCTACTCCGAGCTCCTCCCGTGTGACTGAGCTCCTCACCCTATCTCTAAGGGAGCGCCCAGCCACTCTGCGGAGGAAGCTCATTTCGACCGCTTGTATCCGCGATCTCGTTCTTTCGGTCATTACCCAAAGCTCATGACCATAGGTGAGGGAGGGAACGAAGATTGACCGGTAAATCGAGAGCTTTGCCTTTCGGCTCAGCTCCCTCTTCACCACAACGGTCCGATACAGCGACCGCATAACTGCGCACGCTGCACCGATCCGCCTGTCAATCTCACGCTCCATTCTTCCCTCACTCGTGAACAAGACCCCGAGATACTTGAACTCCTCCACTTGAGGAAGGACCTCTCCACCCACCTGCAGAGGGCAAGGCACCTTTTTCCGGTCGAGCACCATGGCCTCGGATTTGGAGGTGCTGATTCTCATCCCAGCCGCTTCACACTCGGCTGTAAACCGCTCCAGTGCATGCTGCAGGTCCTGGTTCGTTGGAGCCAACAGGACAACATCGTCCGCAAACAGCAGAGATGAAATCCTGTGGTCTCCGAACCGGACCCCCTCCGACCCCTGGCTGCGCCTAGATATTCTGTCCATAAATACAGTGAACAGAACCGGTGACAAAGGGCAGCCCTGTCGGAGGCCAACATTCACCGGGAACAGGTCTGACTTACTGCCGGCAATGCGAACACAGCTCTGGCTCCGGTCATACAGGGATCGGATGGCCCTCAGCAGAGGACCTCCGACCCCGTACTCCCGGAGAACCCCCCAAAGGACACCCCGGGGAACACAGTCGAACGCCTTCTCCAAATCTACAAAGCACATGTGGACAGGTTGGGCGAACTCCCATGAACCCTCAAGTATCCGATGGAGAGTATAGAGCTGGTCCAGTGTTCCGCGACCGGGACGAAAACCCCACTGCTCCTCCTGGATCCGAGATTCGACCAATAATAGAATAATAAAACCAATAAAAGAATAATAAATCATTCTTATTTATTATTTTTTGCTCACATTAATACAAATAGTTGAATTTCCAACTGAGTGCTGAGCCCCTACATAAAACTGGTAGAGTCCAAACAAAGTACTGATGGGAAAATACAATGTCATAACACAGGATATGAAATTCCAATTCCCCTGATCCTAGATACTGTGATGGGCAGATCTATAGATAGACTCTCTCTTTCTCTCTCTCTCTCTCAGTGGATAGCACTCTCGCCTCTCAGCAAGAAGGTCCTGGGTTCGAATCCCGGTTGGACCAGGGCCTTTCTGAGTGGAGTTTGCATGTTCTTCCCGTGTCTGCGTAGGTTTCCTCTGGGTACTCCGGTTTTCCCTACCACTAAAAATATGTACAATAGGTCTGGCATGGGCCTCCTGTACTGGCGACCCCCACTCCCAAAAATAACAATTGTAAACTGCTTTGAGACTCCGATGTGCAGTGAAAAGGCGGTATATATAAATAATGATTACTTAATGATTACTTAATCATTAATGATTACTTAATGATTACTCTTTCTCACACACACACTACATACGAGCTGGATAGAAGACATTTTGTCGTCCAATTGATTTTTTATTAATATCTTTCTTTTTCTGTTAATCGCTTCAATTGGTCAAGTCAAAGAGGTAGAATAATGTTTGAGATTATGTTTTTGAACACACAATTCTGGTGGTGTTTGAAAATAATAATCATCAGTTAAATGTGACTTCATATAGTTACTTGTAGATATCTGTCCAAACACCAGGAGTGGGTCGAGTGTTGCTTGTTCTGAGCTCGGTGCTCATTACGATAAGTGACTATTACACAAACCAGAAACAGGTGAGATTAAACATTAATGAGATTATTACACTAATGGTTTTTCACATAGTTGTTTTATAAATGGCTTTTTATTATTAACTAAACTATTTTATTTTTAAAAAGAGTTTAAAGATCTAAACAATTTTCAATGAATTACAGCTGTAACAAATCAATAGAATTAATCTATACAAAAATCTTAGATTATTATCAATAATATTATTATTATTATCATTATAAAAATAGAAAATATGTGGAACTGGCGAAAATCAAGAGCACAGAACTTATTCCAGCCACTTTGTTTTACACGAACTGCAGTTTCCTCTGAAGACTGTGTTTAAAACAATACTGCAACATTTCTTCTTTAAAATCTGAATGTTGTTTTTTAAATAAAATATATAATTCATATGCAGTGCAGGATGTGGAATAGTTACCTTAACTTTATCTGTAAGAATCATATAACCTGAGAATGATTTTGACCTCTTATTTACCGTGGAGGTGTCGTGTCTATTCTTGCTTGCCAGCCTCACACCCCAGCCAGGGCTCTCAGGTCTGTGGATCAGAACCTCCGGATGGTTCCACACACTCGCTTCAGGACCAGAGGAGACAGGTCCTTCCAGGCTTTGGAACGTTCTCCCGATCTCTCTGCGTTCTATAGAGTCTGTTGAGTCCTTCAAAAGTCAACTTAAAACAGGCTTGTTGTTCAGGCTTTAGCATAATTTTGTCTTGCTGTTTTTTACATGGTTGTCTTGGCCTTTAAAAATGTGTGTCTATTTTATACTATGTCTGTTTTTATACTATGTGAAGCGCTTTGTGACACTGGTCTGTGAAGGGCGCTTTATAAAGAAACAAGCCTTTTATACCCTTTCTTTGAGAATTCAGCAACATAGTTCACAACAATATCAATAAACACTAATGATAATTTACAGAACCTTAAAATGCAATGCCATTATTTGAATTGAGTCGTCACTGTGGCTGGGGTTGACCCGCTGCCCTTTTGGCGTGCTTTAAGTAACCTTCCACAGTGTAGAACATGGAGACAAACACTCCCAGCTGCACGGCCTCAATAGCCTCGACCTCTGTGGGGAGGAGACCCATTCTGTCCCAGAGGCGGCACTCTTAGAGAGGCACTCTTCAGGCCGTTGTGCCCGCAAATTATCACCTCATCTTCACGCACAATTGGCTTTTATATCGTTCGCCTCCAAATTTCTGTTTTAGTCAAAGCTGGGAACTACTTTTATGTACGGCAATGCTATTGTGCGGCGCTCTCAGTTACGACATAAATCATTTTATTTGGTGGTTTTAACGACTTTGCTGTGTGTCCTGGATGGTTTGAGATCAGTAGAGTCTTATCTGTAATTATGGGCGTCTCTTTGTTTGTCCAGTGGTCAGAGCTGATGGGTTAATGATGCGGCAGAGATGCTTAAAACAAAGACTGACAGTGTACACTAGTCATTATCTCGCCACTCTCGTTCTTGTGTGATGTTTTATGTGCTGCTAAATCATATCATGCGAGAAGCCCTCACCGCACTGCTGCTTTGTTATTAAGGTCCATATAAGATGTTTTTTATTTTGGGCTGTTACTAATAGCTGGCTTCTATGTCAAGAATTGAGTGTGGCATGGCCCTGGAAAATGATCATGAAGCTAAAGCCGAGGTTCAGATAGGAAGACTATCCAGACCTTTCTGAGTGGAGTTTGCATGTTCTCCCCGTGTCTGCGTATAGGTTTCCTCTGGGTGCTCCGGTTTCTGCCCACAATTGTAAGGCCCTTTGAGACTCTGTTTTGTGAAAGGTATAAATAAAGATCACTTACTACTTACGCACTCTACATGTGCACAGGATCACTGCTCTCAGGCTCTCAGGTGGTAGCTCTGCAATACCAGTATCTCACCTGGCAGCATTTAAGCACTACCCTGCAATGTCATTAAGGCTTTCATATCACGCAGAAAGCTTTCATGCAGCAACCCTCCTCCTCCCCATCATCAGCCAGACCAGCTCTTCAACACTTCTCATTAGCTACTACTAGGGTCTAGGCCTCGGGGGATTTCATCTCATGATCTCTATTTTCATTTCCCCTTCATGCATGCTGTATATTATCGCTCATGCAGAAACCAACACAATACCAACCAATACATAGAAATCTAATAACAGTTGAGTTTCTCCAGATTGAAATTCTGGATTCCGGAAATCACTTCATATCTTATATTTGTTTAGAAAACCATTCACAAATGTGCATACTCTGTATCATCTTCCTGTTCTAAATTCCAAATATATGATTTGATCTATAAAATAAATTAAGTAATGGACTAAAGTATATGATTCATTGTATAAGCTCTCAAACAGCTAACATGTTTATTTTTATCTATTTGGCACAAACATAATCAATCATATTCAGTTGATTTTCCATTTGCAGTTTAATACCATGGTGTATTCGTCCAACAGTACCCAGGGTGCACCAGAGACAACAATATTAAAATGTATATAATAATAACAAACAAACTCTCCACTTACACTGTAGGCCCTTTAAAGTTCTCCATTGAGTATTTGCTACCACCAAGATACATGGCTTTTCAGTGCCGTAATCACAGTCAAATTTGTGTCATTCTTCCTTTTTGACAATGAAAATACACTGTGATGTCCTGTGAGCATTTTAGATTAATAAAAATGAGGAAAATAACAACATAAAATGATTAGATGTAGTAAACACAGTATCATAGTCTGGCCTTGACTGCACACGTGTAATCTGAAGGTCACAGGCCGAGTCCTGTGGGAACCATCTGAAACATCCCACCAACGCAGAGCAGTAATTCACTACAGTGGAGGTGTCCGCCTACGGACATGGCACCTGTTGGAGACAAGTGTCGTAGCGGCAGAAGCAGCAGCTGCAGTGAGGCCTCCGCGCTCATGTCTTCTTCAGACGTTTGATCCTTTGGGACGGGAGCAGGCGAAAAAAACAGCAAAACTGAGTTAATGTGTGTCTTTGTCCACTTTGGGAGGGGACCGCCTTTCTTCTCCCCAAGTACAAATCGCAAGACTTTGGCCGCATTCTGTGCAGACACAGGGAGGCTATGGTACACAGAAAGATCCCAATCAGACATTGATCTGAACCAAGCTAATCCTCCATTGGTGCCAACGTGACCTTAAAAAATCGGCTTAGAGCAGCTCAGTTTAACAGGACACGGTTTCCCATTTAAGTCGGGCCCACCCTAATGCTGCCACCCACAGACTACATGGGACAGAATTAAGACACATACATTCATAACACTTTTGGGTGCAGCGGGAGGCACCCCACACCACGATGGGCCAAGATGAGCCAGATAATCTGATGGCACCTGATCCAACACGGTTTGTCCGTCTGGGACCAACGAGCAGGATTATTCCCATCACCGAAAACAGAATCTCTTTGTGATGAGGCTAGAAATGTATTTTAATGTAAATGTGGAACCATATAAAATAAGATAATCTGTATTCGTCTCTCAGTGGGGAAGTTTCATATAGTCATCTTTGCTTCAATGAGGATGTGAAAGTTTCTGAGTGAGAGGCCAAAGGTTTTTCTATCATCAAGACACCGACTACCAAGTCTGAAGATTATTGAGGATTGAACCGTTTAAAATATGCAAATGGATATTCATAGGCTGCACGTATGAATATTTCAGCATTTTGGTCATTATCATCCGCATCTGAAAAAGATGCAGTGTTCCTGTGTTGAGATGCTGGTTTTATTTTATGGAAGATGTATTCAATGTCATATTTTTGCCATTTGATTATTGTATCAACAATAGCTACATTACAAAGGATCATTACAAAACAACTATTATATTTAGACTAAAACTAGTAAAAAAAGGAACACATTCCTCAACTAAAAGTAGACTTTTTAGTCAATTATTAAGAACTAAACAATAACAAATGAAAGAAACAATGAGGCTGGATCCAAGCTCCACATTTCAATCATTTCAATCATGTGCTTTATAACTGTACATTTATTTATTGAAAATATTCTCATCCAATGTCTCCTTTAAACTATGAATTTACCAATATGTTTTCCCTCTATTAAAAATGACCTGTAAATGAAAATGAAAATGCGTGTGATGAAAGTGTCAGGTCGGTGATATATAATCCCTCGCCACTTTTTGCAGTGTATTTTTACAGTGAGGTAATCTGAGTGTGTGTTTGTTTAGTCTGCAGCAGCGGCACAGCGCCCTGTCCACTGACGCGGGACACAGGACCGGCCCATTCAGTTTACAACAGCCAGAGTATGTACAAGTAGACTTTACTGATCGTCTGCACATCTGCATCTTGTAAAAGTACTTATACAAACCCCACTTTTAAGTTTGATGTTTGCTACTGTGTTGTGGTATAGTAAAGTTGCATCAATACTATTCCTAACCACTGTATCCATTCATTCAGAATTTGATTGATTTGTGCTACAGCAGAAACTCAGAAGATTGGGAGACATGGCGCCCTGCCAAAACGAATCCTATCTCTTCTACAAACAGGCGCCTGAGCTCGTCAACCTCAGCTTCAGTGTCACACTGCATTTAAAAGAAGCCTCTCAGTCCTGCAGCATCAAGCTGCTGCAGTACAGCAACCGTCCTCACATGCTCATGATCTCTGTTAAATCCCTCTTGCAGATGTTTACATTTCATGTTCAAATGGAATAAATGCATTATTTTGTCTACCAGGTCTCATCATTGGTCTGCCGGGTCCTACTTTCTAATCGTGCTAATTCTAATGCAATCTTTGTCATGAGGCGTTCCAGATTGAAATACAGCTATCAACATTGTAATATTACTGTTAAAAATACTATGTGCTAAAATGTATAAAAAAAAGTTTGAACCAATAAGTCTATATGCCAGAAACAATTGTGTAATATTGTGTAAAAAGTGTTTTTAACTCAATCTATTGAATCATCAATTAACATTTGAGCCACATTGTTTTGTTTTGACATTTTCTTGATGGACATGTGCAGTAGAAGGAGCAGGAACCCCCCTTAAGGATCAATAAAGTATTCATCTTGAAAGAGCATGCTAGAACAGAATGCCGTCTCTATAAAATGGCCATAAAAAGAAACTCACTGCAATAAATGTTTTATTCCAACCACACATCAAAGTTGTATGCACACTTGTCCTAAAGGCATTCAGCACAAGTTTCTCCAGTTCCTCAAACTTACAAACAGCTGAATAACTCTAAACCCCTTATACAATCTTAAAATGTAAAATATGGGTTTTGCAGACAGAGCTGAGGTCATTTCTGGGACAAACTCATTACATGACGTCACCGGCTGCTTGAGACAAACTTTTGGAGACGAGAGTTTTTACCTCTCCAATGCACGCAAACACACTCACACAGCTAAACCCACTGTCAACACTGCATGCCAATAATTACATGGGCTGTTTGTAGAAGCCACTTTGTAAATAGCCTCACCACCAAATGAATGCATGGGTCTGATTTTTTGGAGCTGCTAATGTCAACAATGCCCCGCGGCCTGTGGAGTGGGACCGTCCACCTCTGTTTTCTATGTGAGATCAAAGCGTGGAGAGCTGTCTTCAGTGTGGACCGGGGACAACAGGGCGGCCGAGGACACACAAAACCTCGTCTTGAGTGAGTTCTTAATACGACACTCCTGGATCCTTCAGCAGCAGAAGAAAGAGCAGAGGAGCGCTCTTTGGCCCTGGTCTTTTTGTGAGGTGAACAAAGTGCTGTGATGCATTTAAGTAGGAGGGAAGAAGAGGCCACGATCGCTGATGCTAATAACTTTTAAATGGCAGCCTTTGATTTTTAGAGTTACATTTGTGATTGTTATGTTTAACACAGAATATGATCTTCTTTATTGTAGTTGTTGTTTTTGCCTTTTTGAGCAATATATGTATTCATTTCCTCCGCATATACTCCACATACAAACTCTATTTGTATTTTATTTGTTTTTGTTGTTTAAAATGTACTAATTTTCAAACATATTGTATTCATGGTATTGTTTGTTTTCTTCTAATTTTATTGTTTTCTTTTATAACTATTTTTCTAACATTGTATTTGATTAGACTTATTTACATAGCTGGCAGACTTGGATGTGGCTTTTATTTTCTCCAGAGAAATACTTTGGAAAGGTTTGCTTTATGTGTTTGCTATATAGATAAAGTGGGTAAAATTGAACATAGGAGAAAATAATATATTTGTTTTGGATTGTTAAATATTGTTGTTATAAGTGAAACGTGGACAGTTTTATCACATGCAATTTTTTCTTTGACAAAACATTATTCCAAAATTATGTTTTGATTCCTTTTGAGTGGCTTTCAGTGGCTCTCTTCCCTCATATCAGAGCAGGAATGCCAGACTCACACTGCCCTCTGTCTACAACCACAGGTATTGCAGTTGGCATCATTCTTTCATCCAGAATGCATCAGGCCTCTTCCCAGCGTCTCCTGCGCTAATTTGACGCACACATTTGGTCTAAAAGTTATGTTTTAGTCGCTTGTTTTAGAAAATGTACTTTTTATTCACTTTTTATTTCTACCCTGAAGGTTTCGTTTTTTGAGTGCCATGCTCACCGACTCATATAATTATCCCACTCTGAATGAATATATAATTTCCTAAAGCAAAGACAAGGCAGTGGGAGAGTTATTGATGCAAAGCAGGTCCTCCTCAGGGCTGATCAGACAGGTCTATTGTAACAGTGTCAGCCGTGTGCGCTCTTGCGTTCGCTGTGGTTTATTATGAGGCTTAAGCTAAACAAACAGTTGAGCTTATTTCACTGGAAACTAATCAGACATGTCCAGCGGGGAACAGGAGAAAATCCAGCAGATATGAGAGGAGGATGTGCTGCAGACTGACAGGGCATTAGCTCTTCCTGTTGATCCAAAAAAGCATTATAAAAACAATATAAACTGACTTGTTTTCCACCATAATCCTATGTTCAATGTACTGTGTTTTGGTAAATGTTAAAACGGCATCTTAGCCTTGATGGTTGAATGTGAACTCTTCCATTGTAAGTAAGAAAATAAGTAATTTTAATTTAAATATGAGGCTTTCACAGACCAGAGTCACAAAGTGCTTTACAATTGTTGTGGGCATTTGTCTCTCACTCCCATCTCTGTGTCTTCTGTGCATCTTCATCCCTAAACCTGCCCAGAGTCCGCCACTGCAGGCCACTTTTCTGACAATGTTTAAATCAGGTTAAAAACAGTTCTGTTTACCTGTGCACACAATTGAGAGATTTTAAATTTATTTCTTTTTAATGTACGTGCTTATTTTATGATTTTAATGCTATCTTGTTTTGTTCAGCACTTTGAGTTGCCTTGTGTATGTGCTATACCAATGTACTTCCCTGGCCTTGCCTAGACCTGAAGCGTCTGGGGAGGGGGCGACCTTTAGAGAGCTCCCCAATGACCACAAGGCTCAGATTAAAAACATGACTTTCACCTCAAACCCATCATGCCCATATGATGACTTTAACCTTCTTCTGTTGGTCTGACGAGAGGTTTGAGGATGTTTAGAAGTTATTACTGGAACAGTGAAGTCATGACCATGGGTCACAGGTGGGGGTTGGTTTATAGCCCCCTCTCCTCCGTGACTCTGGTCCAGATGATGGACTGGAGTCATGCTGGGAATGCTTTGTGAAAGGATTAATGCTATTCCCTCTGGGTTTACACAGTTCTTGTTAAGTACAGCATTTTCTTTGTAATTGCCTGATACTTATTGTACTAAATTCAGTGTACATCAGCAAAGTACCCAAACCCTAACCCTAAGGCAAATTTGATCAACCAGACATTATCACGTCATGGAGTTTGTCTTTGAAATGTCCCAAACACTGTAATAATTCATGAGTATAAAAAATGCCCTATCGATCTAAAACGTGACCCACAAACCAAAAAATATTGAATTGATTGTTTTATTTAGCTTGAATGTCAAAGTCAATACCTGCATCTTCAGCTGTTTTTCTCCCTTCAATAGATTGACTTCCCTGATTTGACAGTATAAATAGGGCTTGCAAATGTATTCACTCACACAAATGCAGTGCTTACCTGTAATTACGAAAACAACAACTAAACCACTGAAATGACCCATATTTGATCAGTTGTAGACACTGAAGTGTGTGGCCGGG